AATCAATAAACTCGAGTGAAATGATCACTTCTAATATATCCAAATATGTCTTAGCTTTTTCTATTTGTACTCCAACTGTTGATAGGGTTTCTATTGTAATATCACACCAATCTTCAAATCGTTCAGATTTTTTATATTCATCTTTATTATGAATTATTCTTAAATCCTTTAAATGCAAAACTTTGAATCAATCGATCATCGTGATCGAGATTATTTTCTAAGAATATGAAACAATTGTCAGATAAATGACAATATTTCAATGAATAATAAATTGATTCAATGAGTAATAGTAATAATGATGTTTCATTGGTTGTTTGAACTAATTTGTCAAGAATTTCTTCAGCTTTTTGACATTTTTGTTCTTTAATTATACGACAATAACATTGTAATGTTATTTCATCACATGTATTTGTTAATAAAATTTGTTCGATGAGAAGAACAAATTGTTGATTATTATAATAAAATGGATCGCTTTTAATTGACATCTGAATCAACTTTTCGATAGTTTGTAAGTTATCTCTAAAATATTCGTTTTTATTGTGAGAACTTTGATTAGTTCGTTTATTTGTTCGTCATTGAATTGAAATTGCACTTGTAATTGTTTGTAAAGATTATTTTGAGAAAATGCCTGTTTGATTTCATTGGCTTTATCATTTCTTTGTTTTTCATAAACGATTTTCATCACTCTATTATTCAGATTTTTTCCACTACAATTTACATCTTCAAGTAATTTCGAACAAGAATTCATGATTACTTGAGAATTCGTACTTTCATATAATAGTACAATACTTTCAATAAGATCATTAGTCATTTGATTTTTTGATTTTGATAAATGTAAAATTTCTAAAGTGTTTTCTTGTAATTGAAGATCTTGATCGATAATATTTTTTAATTGACAGTAATTTTGTTCTAATAAACCATCTTCATAATTTGCATACGTCTTTAATTGATTTAATAGTTCACTATTCGATTGATAATTTAAATTCGCTAATTGAATTTTTGCTTTATATTTATTTGTCAGCTGATTATTATGACTATTTTGTTCCATAAATGTAAATAATGAATATATTTCATCTTTTATTATTCGATCACAATCGAAACTTATACCAATTTTGATGATAATATCGAATAGATTTGAATTAATCGTTATAAATTGAGCTAATAGTTTTAATACATGAATACACATCTTTTGTAAATGAATATTATCTGAACGGATTCCATTTTCTAAGATTTCCTCTATTTGTTGCTGATATTGTTTAATATTGATATGATGAGTTTGAATTAATGATCCAAGTGCACTTAAAAGTTCTTATTTCAACATAATATCTTTTTCGGATAAAATTTTGCTCAAAATTTTCTGAATTATATTATCACATAATTTTTCACCTTTTTGTGCCAAATAAATAAATATTGAAAGTACTTTATCTTCAATTGTTTTTCTGTTTAAAGCTATTTCTAATTTTTTTAAAAGTTCAATAGATAATGTTTGATTATTTTTAGCTACATTTTCAAAGATATTAATTAAAATAAATTGATCACTATTTGGATTAAATATATTGATTAATTTATTCAACAAATCATATTGTATGATTTGTTTATTTTTCGATATATTGTACAAGATTCGTAAAGCATCTTCATTATAAATTTCTTTTTCTAAAGCAATAACTGTATCAATTGGTAAATGTATTCCATTATTAGTTTGTTCTTCTAAAAATTTCATAATTGATTTTTTATTCAATGATCGAGATAGAACAAAAGCAGCTTTAACAAGTTCGATTTTATAGAATATACCTTCAGGTAAATCTTGATTTTGTCTGGCTTTTTCTAAAAATTTAAACGAATTATATCGTCGTCTCACATTGATTGACATGTACAAATTATCTGCTGAGTTCTGTAAGATTTTATTTGTCCCAATCTCTCCTAGTCTTAAATTTTGAGTGAGAAATAATGAACTTAAATTATCCATATGCATGGCATTGATTGGCTGGTCAAATACAGATAAGAACATTAAACCACATGAATAAGCTGCAAGAATATAAATACTGACATCATAAATTTGATCGTTGACAAAATCTTTCATTTGACTAAGAGTATCATTTTCTAACATTATATATTTCGATAATTTATAAATACATTTCGATGAAATGATCTTTGTTTGTTTATCATCATTATTCAATGCTAAAATTAAATTTTCAATTGTTTTATTCGTTATTAGAATTTCTTTTTGAATAAAAAGAAAAATGAGATTAGCAGTGAGTAATGAAATTTGATTGCCATGTTGATTTTGTTTGGAACGTTGTGTAAAAATTATTTTTGAATCGTCATTTAATTGAACAACATCATTACTCTCTAATTTGAAAGATATTTTTTCCAAATCTTGTTCATCATCAAGAGAATTTCGCTCGTGAATAACACGACTTAGAATAAGTAAAATATAATTCGAAGAATTCTCGCCAAAACATTTCATATTGTCAATTAATATTTTCACTATTCGATTTGATAGTAAACTTTGTTTTTCAGCAATTATCAATATAGATGTAAGGACAGAATTAATAAGATTATCACTTGAATTACTAGGATCTAGAATGTATTGAATCAACAATTCCAAATGTTTATCTTTCAAAGCCTTATTTGTTTCATGTTCCAAATAAGTGTTAATTATCTCTACTATATCTTCTTTTATTTTCGTATCATAGTCGTCACTATTTAACAAATTAATTAATTTTTCTAGTATTTTATCAGTAAATAATTCTTTACTTCGTTTTGCATCTTTGGCTTGATTATTTATGAAACTAATTATCATCTCATTGTTTGCACGTGTTCCACGTACTAAGACATTAATATATGTATTAAATGTTGTTTTATAATCACTGTTATTAGTTGAATCAGCTATGTGCATTAATTGAAAGATTGTTTTTGTAAATTTAGCATCATTTTCTTGATAATCAGTTAAATATTGTTGAATTTTTTTTATTCGATTTTTAGTAAGAACTTGTTTGTTTCGAATTGAACAGTTGTATATAACATTTAAGCTGTTCAATCTAATTTGATTGATTTCATTTTTTATTATTTCTGTTAGTTCAACTTTATTGAATTGTTTTCTTTTTCAGTTGAATTCCATAACCATCCTTTATGTATAACAATTTCGATTGTTTTATCTATAATTCTCTTAATAAAAATAGTTACTAAATCCGGCTGTGTTAATTCCTTGAATTCATCGTAATCATCATGCATGGCATTGACAAATAGGTCTAACATATTTTCGTTACAATGCAATGCAATCGAAACAAAAGAATCAAAGTCAGTTACGCACATCATTAGTTTATCAATCGCATCACTATTTAATTGTTGCTTTTTTGATGCTCGAAGTAATGTAGCAGCAATCATTCTGTTAATAAAAAATGAGTAAACTTTCTGTTTCCTATTGGTACTTATTATTCCTCCTGAAAATATATTTGTATTAAAACAGAAATGCGAACCAAATAATTTTTCTGGTAAATAATAATCTTTATCATCACTTTTTAATGTTTGACCTTGTGATACGACTAATGTGTATAAATTAAGACTTTCTGCCCAAGTACTTCTCCACATTGATCTATCATCGCCACTTGTATCATCTATAGTCTCAATTTTTTCTAATGTTGTTTTCATATTCAACGTTCGGTTTCGATTTTTGAGTGCATCGGATAAATTCATAAATATCATCTTTGCTTCTTCAGATTCTTTATTATTGAAAGTTGATTTGACAGTTTGTATTGTTTTGGTAACTACTAATTTATTCATTTTCTGATTACCATTAGATTTACCTGTTGATATAAATCGATATTCAGTTTTTAATTGATCATTGCCATGAAGACTTTTACTAATTTCTAATTGAGCTAATAACAATCCTTTTGCCTCTTCATTGATATCAAACTTATTTAGCACCAAACTACTTAGTTCATCAATTAATTCGTTATTTAATGTCAATTTTTCAGTCATGTAGGCCAATGTATAAACAAGTTCAGTCTTAATAGATTCGTTATTACATCGTTTGATCAAATCGATGACAAGAGAATATTGAATTTCTTCTTTCAGTTGTTTGCTATTTTGAGTTAAATACTTCAACGATAAGCATAGAAAATAATGAACTTGTTCATCAAAATTACTACTTAAGCCATTCAAGTATTTATTCAGTTGACTTAACAGATCTGTATGCACATATTTCAATTCGTCGAATGTTAATGTGAACTTGCGTATGTAATATGCAAACTTCTTAGACTCTTTTAAATCAAACGATTTGTCTTGTTCGTGAGAACGTTTTAATTCGTTAATTGCAACTGTTTTATCAAATTCACATTCAATAGATTGTTTAAATCTATCTGATTCAAACTTTTGAAATTTTCGTACTGCTAGTGCTGTTATTACAACTCTTCTAAGGCGCAAAGGTTGTTTCATAGGCGGCGGAACGTAGAGGTTTGAGCTTAGCTTGAAATTGACGTGTGTAGGTTTAGCCCAACCTGAATCAGGCCCGTAGGCAACGGAACCAGTAGACTTGGAAGACTTGAGCCTCACCTGATTTTTGGAGCCTCACCTGTCTTTTGAATATTTTGTTTACCTGGTATTGTTTGTTTAAAGTTAATAATTTGCAATGTTTATAAAATCTAAAATGAAATAAGAAAAAATATGAAACAAATATATTTAGTATTTGAAATAATAAGCGGTATAATATATATATGAATTTCATAATTACTTCTTCTATGCAGAAGTATTAAATTGATGAAGACAGAAAGTTTCGATGTTGTGCTAGAAACAGAGGGTTGTCTAATCTGGTAACGAGATGATATTGAACTTCCCCAAATTCGCGAAATCTTGATCCGCACATCGCCCATACCGACTCAAATGGACTACACTACAGTGCAAAATAGTAAACCACGATTATACCTATAGTATGTATGGCAGGAAATACTGGCTTGTGGCTCACTCTCAACAACCCCCACCCCACCACCATCACCATCAGGCTCTCTTCTTTTCCCAGTCTATATTACACACACTGTAGTATATGTATATATACTTAAATACTTAAAAAAAAAATATTTTAAGTATATAAAGAAATACTTAAATTGATGTGAAGTAATTTTTCGACTTTTTTTGGGTCAGAAATTAGTTTGCATTAATTTGAAAGTATTTAAAAGTTCCAATGGGTATACAAAAGTTTCTGCTCATAGTTTTGAAAGACTGAAATCGTCGAACAGAAAGAAATTTTTCTCATGGTAAGACAAACAACATCTTTGGCACTCGAAGAATACTTCTGTAAACATCAGCTCTTTCAACGAATTTCTTGTAGCAGATGGAAGTCTTATAGAAACATTCAATGCTTGTATTCCGCAAAAGTTAAAACACTGCGTCGAATAACATGTTTTTCAGCGAAAAGTAGATTTTATTAAAAACACACCTGTACTCAGTCGCTGTTTTAAAAAATTTCACTTGAAGTGCGTTTTTGATGAAATCTAATTTTCGCTGAGCAATATGTTATTCGACGCAGTGTTTTATACTGATTCCGAATATGGCATCTACTTTGCTCTCTGACAAAAGTATGATGGTCAAAATTGCTGAATACGAGTGAGTTTTTAGCCCATTCAAATTTTTTCAATTTTTCTCACTTAAAACATTGTCCAAAGAAATTAAAAATCACATATTCGTGACCGGCTCACCAGACTCTATCCAACGGTATAAAGATGTACGATGTGAAAAATTGTGTATAATATAGTCAGTATAATCATGCATCAGCATCACTTCTGGTTGTGTATTAGTTGATAAGGTAGGTTGGGTATCAAATAAATCTCTTGTGTCCTGACACAATTGCTCTTCTATATAACTAAATAAATCTGGATTCAATTCTAATACTTTATCGATAATTACGTTTATAATCATTCGTCGTCCTGCTTCGTTTTTTCCCCAAGAGCAACGACGTGCAACGCATAAATAAACAATAAAAATGAAAATATTGATGAATTGTGTTTTCTGAAACACATTACCTTTCACATTCTGGCGTAAAGATTCAC